CCCCCCCCGCGGGGCGGTCCTGCAGGGCCCATTTTTTCTTTAACCCTTTTTTTTTTTTTTTTTTTTTTTTAACAGTCTGTACGTTTATGGACTTCGCAGTGGGGGAGAGGCCAGCTCTTTGCTTCACAGCAGCCATGGGCATGGGGTCCCAAGGAGCCCAGAACCCTAATGCTGCCTGGGGCCTGCGCTGTGGGGAAGGGACACAAGTCGCATGCAGGAGCAGCCAGCCAGGCAAAGCCACCCCAGCGCAGCGCAGCGTGCCAGGCCTGCGCTCCCCCAGCGCCACCCGATGAGCTGAAGCTGCAGAAAGGCTGAGTAAAGCCCCCGGGGCACAGCAGAGAGCAGCACTTGAAGGCGCAGAGAGCTGCAGCCTGGGCAGAGCCACGCAGTGGCACAGCCGCTCCTCTCTGAGCGGGGTGGGTGAGGGCGAAGGGCCGGCGAGCCCGCGGCACTCGGTAAGCCTGGGGCACGCAGATAGGAAGGGGCCAAGAGCAGCCCCTGAAGGGAAGCAGTGGCAGCCAGCTGTGTATTTTGCAGCCCTAGCGCATAGCTTGTCCTGGCCGCAGCACTGGCTCCTACCCACCAAAGCTCAGAGCTGAGGGGCAGCAGCACCTCTAGGTGCTCAGCACCAGCGAGCCTGTGCCATGGGTGCTGCTGAGCTCCTCCGGCCTCGAAAGGGGCACTGGGGCAAGCAGGTCCAAGTGCGTTACAGCCACGCTGGCCCCAGTCAGGAGAGGGAGGGGAGAAGCTGTTTACTGGGAGAGGAACCATTGAAGTCGCTCTCCTTCCCAGTCAATAACTTACAGAGTGGCTGGAAACTGCCCCAGGGGAAGCATCCTGACGCGGTGCTGTCTGCATGGTCCAGACACAGAGGCTCGTGCCTGAGCTGGCGCCGGCAGGACAGGCTCCCAGCACGGCTGGCGCTCACTGCAGCATCCCCGTCCTCACCTGGAAGGCCAGCCCGTCCCCCCGGGTGGCTTGCTGCAAGGGGAGAGACACGGGTGCTCGCAGCACCGCCTGCCTGAGGATGAAGGACCACCAGCACCCACCCGCGGGGGCCCCTGCAGAGGCGCCAGGGCTTGGTTTGCCCTGGTAGAGTCGATGGGGTCCCCAGGGAGGCAAGACAACGCCTCTGGGTGCAGCAGCTCCCCGGCTGTGCCCACCCACCCACCAGCATCTCACGCTGGTGCCAAGTCCCCGCTACCTTGTTAATCTCCTTGTGTCTCTCCTTGCTGACGATTTCTTCTAGTACTTCTCCGTCTCCCTTAATAAGCCTGGAAGAGAAGCACAGGCCCACGAGCCGTGAGGGCTACTGGCAAATTCCTGCCAGCTGCAGAAGGCGCTGACCCCCACCCCCAGGGCTGCTGCTGTGCCCCAGCTCAGGCACGTGGCCACCAGCTCCCTCACAGCGCTACGTGGCACGGTGCCGGGCTGATGCACCTCTGGGCAAGGCCAGTGACAACCTACCCCTGAAGCTGCATTAGGTGACTTTTTTTTGGCTGTATCAAGCTTAAATAGTACAGCAGGCTTTTCCATTGCCCTTGTGGGATTAATGTCACCACGCCGCAGCAAGGACAGGTGTGGTCCCCTGAGACATCAGCATCCCCCTGCACGGGCCAGCCGTCCCTGCCCCAGGCTGTGGGCACTGCTGTGTGCAGAGCCAGTCATGCTTGCACGCAGCAGGAGAAAACACTCGCAATAAAAGCATCTCCTGCCACCCCACCATCTGCTGAGGCTTCGCTGTCAGCAGCAGCGGCCCCAACCCCTGCAAAACCCCTTCCTTTTTTTCACACAGAGTTCAGGTCTGGTCCTGGCTGCCCCAGGAAACTGCAGCGCCATCCAGAAACAGGATGCAGTTTGGGCCTGAAAGGCAGCCAGACCAGGGAGCATCTTGCTGAGCAAATTCCGAGCAGCGTTGGAGGCGGCTCACACCTCCAAACATGAACAGAAATTTAATTGTCTTCATTACATGCCTTACGGGGAACCGACCTTTGTTCCACACCTCCCTGAGCCCCGCAGGCTGCCTTCTATTTTAAGACTGGACTTGTCATACCCGATTCTCTTCAGCATGATGTTTTCTGCTTGCTGAGAAGGTGCAGTTTATTAAAAACTGGGTCATTTCTACTTGGCAGCTAAACGAACTTTGGTTTGATTGCTGTCTGTGACGCAAGGGGCACCCACACTCCCTCCTCACTTGCACCCAGGTGCTAACCAGGGCTGAGTGCGTGTGTGCTTTGGAGCTGAAAGGCAAGCGCATGAAGCAGCGGGGTAAGGCGGTGTCGGTCACCCCTCTGGTTCCTGCTCTGCCCCGCTCGCGGAGTCCCATTTCATGGGAAGAAGCTGAACCCTTCACAGCACAAAGAACAAACCCCCTGCCTCCAGCAGCCGCCAGTTGCTCTGCTGTCTGTGTCCCTAGCTCTGGGTTGGGACACAGCCCAGTGCCCCTTGCACAGAGCCCCAGCACAATTCAATAATTTGGTGTCAAACACGTCACTTTCTGGGTAAGTTACACCAGGTCTGACGGGAGGGGATCTGCGAGGGATCAGCTCAGGCCTTTGCTGGTGAACGGGACCTGGCTCCACGCATGGTCCTGCAGTGCCATGGGCCGGCATCCTCCAGGACTCCAACCCACACAACATGGGTGGGGATGGACAACCTGCCTCCCTTTTCCCCAGGGATCATACCTGGTTCTCCCCGTTTCGGGATCCACGACTCTCCTTATGACACTCTGCCTCGCGTCCCATTCTTCCTTTGTCATTGGCTTCATAGCCTGGATTCGGGATTTTTGTTCGTCTGTCAAAACTGGAATGCATCGGTTCGTCAGAGCCGTGCTCGTGGGGCCGGCTCCTGGCCGAGGGGCACAGCACCACACCTGACGTGAACAGACACGCGTGCCACAGCAGCGTCCCGGCAGGACTCGGGTTCAGTGATGAACCACGCAAAGGAAGGGCCGCTCCATGTCCCCACGCCAGTGCCAGCTTTGCCAGTTTGTTACTGCTGACCGTGACCTTCCATCTGGCATCTTTGTTCCCCACTCACATCTATAAACTACATCTAAACACTTCACAAATGACTCTTTGAACGACTCCTTACGTTTACTTGGTGTGGCTCGAAGGCAGCCACGGTGCGTAGGAGGGAGGAGCGTCAGGAGCTCCTCTCTGTACACAGCCCTGCTTCCCTCAGACACCTCACGTGGGTCCCGGGAAGGGCGACGTGCGAGCGTCTTTCCCCAGCGCGACACCTGGAAACGCCACCGTTACCTGGTCCGGAGTCCACCAGCGACTCCTTCTGCCACTGCTCCAGCGAGGGGCCAGGCACCATGTCTCCCTTGGCTTTCTCCTCCTTAGCCCTCTCCTTTGACTTCTTTTTTGATTTCTTCTTTATTCTCTTCTTCTTCTTCTTTTTGTCTTTCTGTTTTGCTCGCTTTTTTTTGCCGTGTCGACTCTTCTTCGTTTTGGAGTCACTGTCGCTGGAGTCATCAGAAGAGGAGCTGGAGGAAGAGGAAGACGAGGAAGAGCTGGTGGATGAAGAAGCTGTCTCAGAGGAAGAGGTACTTGCCTTCCTCTTCTTTTTGTCCTTTCCTGCCTTCTTCTTTTCTGCAAAAGGTAAGAAAGGGTTGAGCGGGGCAGCAGCAGGGATGCTCGTCGTCCCCCTCCCAGCCTGGTTTCTTTCTTGCCTGAACAGCAAAGCCCCCAAAGCCAGGGCAAAGACCCCTCTGTGCCAACACCTTTAACACATCGCGGCGTGCAGCACCATGCTGCCAGACCAGCACGCGGAGGGGCTGTAGGGCTCCGCGCTTGTCAGAACAAAACTAAAATGGGCACAAAGTGCACAGCAAGGCAACAGACACCAATTTAGCTGAAAGCAGGGACCCTCTTCTCCCACCTGGGCCCCTTCTGTGCACCTGCCCCAGGAAAATGTGGTGAAAGCATGGGGCCGCGGGCCTTTCCCCTACCTTCCCTAGCTGTCGCTGAGCTCGACTTGTGTCTGTGAGACCCAGAGGTCCGCTTCTTCGGAGGAGAGCTGCTGCCCCGGTGTGAGTCCTTGCTGCTTTTCCTCCTTTTCTTCTCCTTCCTCTCCTGTCTGCTCCGAGAATTGCTTTTGCTCCTGCTTCGCGATCGCTTCCGAGACTGGCTGTGGGCCATGGTGCGTCAGCCCCTGGAGGGAACAGGTTACATCAGTGCCACAGGGGAGACCACCCTCGCTCAGCGGCAATGGGTCTGGCAGCCCCAGAAACCTTAAATCCAACCCTGAGCCAACCGGCCCTGGAAGACCTGCTCCTGAGCCCCTCTGAAGACAACGCTCATGCCTGCTCTCGCCGAGCTCCCAATGCGCAGGGGGAGGTCGGGGTTACCCATCACACAGCTGTGGCCAAAGGGAATTCCAGCAATCCACAAAATGGAGCCCTCGGCAGAGAGCTGGGGCCGTGCAGGGACAGCTGCCGTCCCCGGGCAGCCCTCACCCGCCTATGAGACAACCGTCCCCAGGCAGGTTGGCCATGAAACCTCCACCAGGCTTTCCCCACGCTTCTTGCGTTTGTCCCTAGATGTGACGACTAAGAGAGAATCGGGCCGATCCCCACCAGGGTGGGGGTCTGCAGGCAACGCTGTGCTCCACGGCCCTGGGGACAACTCCCAGCAGCCACGGGCTGTGACCCCGTGGGGCGGGGAGCCGTCGGGAGGAGGGGACACGCTGCACCTGCAGACAGACGCCGGCAAGGTACGATCGATGCTGCGGCGACAGTCAGCAGAATGAAACATCCTCCCCAAGCTGAACACAGAGTCAATCACCCCATTATTTAAAATGCCGAGAGCGGGCGCGAGCCAAGGGGAGGAATGAATTTTTAATATTCCAATTTGCTTTTAGAAAACAGATTATGCATTGAGCTGGCATCCCCGTCCATCAGCCCAACCGGCTGCCAGCAGCCACAGGCCAGAGACAGCATGATATGTGCTCTCATTAATTTAAAAAACAAACTGACACCATCAGCAGAGCAGTATCTGGGAAATGCTTTCTCACAGCCACCTTCCAACTACCACATTTAATTAATTGCACGTTTACCACCTCAACGTTCCCAAGCGGCGATTCGCTCCCAAGTGAATCAGACCTTTGATTGAGTTCCAAATGGAAATTTCAATCAGAAAAGGAAAAAAAAAAACAATCAAACCAATTAAGGACACAGGGAAGTTTCTGAGGATGAGCGTCCTTCATCAACAGGCACCCAGCAGCCTTGCTGGCAGGACGGCGTTTGAGTCGGGGTCCGCTCCGTGGGTCAGGGCCCGCTTTTATACAACCGCGGCAACAGGGCCAATGGACGTGGTGTTGGGCGCGGACAGGAGCATCCCGGGGAGTCCGGGGCGATGCCGCGGGAAGGGGACGAGCCCCGAATCCACCACGGCAGCAGCCCGGGCTGGTCGCGCCCCAGAGCTGGGGTCTCGCCTCCCCTCTGCCCCCAGGTTCGTGGCCACAGCGGGGCGGCCCCTCCTGCCCACCCACCTGCGCCCAGGCCCGGCCCTTGGCGGGGACCCGGGAGCCCGGCTGCTTGCGGTGGGAACCCCCCGCAGCCGGAGGGGCAGCCCCTTCCCTCACCCCGACACAGGGAGCCTGCGGCACGCTGGCCCTTTAAGAGCTCAGCGCGAGGTGTGCTAGCCCTTTAATTGCGTAGCACAAGGTGCACTAGCCCTTTAAGAGCTCAGCAAGAGGTGTACTGGCCCTTTAAGAGCTTAGCACAAGCGTGCTGACCCTTTAAAAACCTGCGCAAGGTGCACTGGCCCTTTGAGAGCTCAGTACTGGGCGCGCTGGTCCTTTAAGACCCCGGCGCAAGGCGCGTCCCCTTTAAGAGCGCGGCCCCGCGTGTCCGCCTCTTTAACAGC